AGAGCGCCCTGCAAAATGCAAATACAACGTGTGAACAATGAAGGTGTTGATTGTTATACTGACTCTAATGTATCAACGGGATGGATAAAAAACGGCCATATAGAGGTTGCCACTTTGTGGCTCGCCGAGCAGAGGTGCTGTTATTGATTTCCTAGCAGAGCAAAGCAATCGCAAGTCATCCATGGTATGAATGTAGCAGGATCACTTAGCCCTTTGATCCGAGGGATGAAAAGGAAGACAGACGGGAGGGACAGATAGGAAAGAAACACAGTGCCTGAACAAATACTCTATTCGCAAATCCACTGTAGAAGCCGCCCTGTACACGATGTACTCCTAGACTGTCTGGAGAAAACTGGATCAGTGGTAGATAGATGTCTCGGTTGACATTTTCGTCCATGGCAGAGTTCACTGGTTTCTTGCTGTGTTCTCTCTCAAAGAGGGGACAAATTATGACTGGACTGATCTGGCCTCGGGTGCCCAGCCAAGTCCTAGCTGTCCAACAGCTGCAGCATTGCAGTATCTGTTGCACTTCCCCTGCTTGGAGGGAAAGGAAATGTCACATGACAAACGAGTCGATCCTCAAAAGAACTGATTATCCAGAAACCCAACGCCTACAGCAACACAACATCTCCCTTGTTCCAGGATTATTTTTCTTCCTTCATCATCACTTGCTTTTTTGTCTCCATTCTCTTCTCCCTCAGGTCCTGTCTGCAGCGCCTGTGTGGACAACTTCGGGGCTCGTCCCGTGACCATCTTCAGCGGCGTGATGGTTGCGGGCGGCCTGATGCTCAGTGCCTTCGCTCCGAATGTCCAGTTCCTCATCTTCTCTTATGGGATCGTGGTTGGTGAGGAAACACTTGATTATAACCTGTCCTTATAAAAAAAGGACATTCCAGCTCAGTCCATGTGAGCCTTTATTGCCTCTGCAGGCTCACCCCTGTGCATGCGTGGGCCCAACACCACCTGTTATCCAGCTTTAAGTGACAGCTCGGCCGGGCTTAAACCTGGTCAACCCCTCAGAGTTAGCCTTGCCTTGGGGGGGTGCCATGCATATTTCAAGGTAGTTATTTATATTTAGAGATGCCCTTCGATGTTGGCAGTGGCAGTACATTCGCGTGCAGCTTGTTTACTGCTCCTCATTATATGTTTCTATTTGCGTTGCACAAGAAACCGTCTGCGCAGAACACTCCAAACTTGGAGGTGTTCAACTTTGTAAATACACCCTTTCAAGGGCTTCCTGAGTTTGTCAACCGAAACACGTAGTCCACAATGCTGTTATGCATTATGGTGGACCAAGAATTTGGAAGAAATTTCCCCACATGCACTGCAATCTACTTCCCATTGTTGTGTTTTTTGTTGGGAAGGTCCCTTTCCCCTGAGTTAACATTCTTCCTTTTTGCGCTCTCTCCCACAGGACTGGGTTGTGGCCTGGTCTACGCAGCCACGCTGACAATCACCTGTCAATATTTTGACAAGCGACGTGGCCTTGCCCTCGGCATTGTCACCACAGGTACTGCCGCACTCCCCCTCTGCCCTGCGCTCACTTGGTGCACACCAGTTCTTCGTGCTCACTGCTTTCATGTAGCAGCTGTGGGGAGCCTTGGGATGCTGAGGTAAACACCTGTAGTGTAGCAAAGGCAGAGTCTTCTCTTAGGTAGGTGAGTGGACTTGTGACCAGTGACTAGATCTGTTTTTGCTGAGCATCAAAACTTTCGGGAAGGTTCACAGTGTACTTTGAAGCTGTGGTAGACGTAATTGCCTTTAATGGAAGGTTTATCATTTGCGTCATTTATCTTTAACGTTTCAAGGTCCATTAATAAGTTGCCACTAGTGAGCCACAGTATGTCAAAGTCTGGATGTTAGTACTTTAACATCCTAAGAAAACAATATCTGACCTTGGTCAGAGGTAAAATAGACGTGAAACTTTCAACCAGTGGTTTAACTTTGGTCCTGGTGTAAAGTTACAGTATTTAGAACCACGAATGTAGAATCTCAACACTTCTGGCATTAGCATCAAGGAAAGATGAATGGCCTAAATGATTATATCAACCACGCTGGTTGTTAATCAAGATGGTCAAAAAGACTCATGCCATCAGCAGAATTTCAAAGTGGTCTTACACCAAATTTGGTAGAACGTGGCTTAAAAGCCAATTGATTGATCCCTCCTTTTCTCACCCAAACGCTTTCGATTTCTGTGTACCTCTGTTTACCCAGGCACAAGTGTTGGAGCGTTCATCTATGCCTCCGCTCAGAACGAGCTGATCGTGCTGTTCGGCCTGGACGGCTGCCTGCTTATGATCGGCGCTGTGGCTCTGAACCTCATGGCCTGCGCGGGCTTCATGAGGCCCCTCAACATGCCGGGCTACTACCTGAAACAGAAGGCCGCCCTGGAACGCAACACAGAGGGGCAGCTCTTCCAGAAGCCCCCGTCGGACGACCTGAAGATCACGGCGAGTTCCACCTCGCCCAACGTAGAGAAATCTCTCGCGGTGAAAGAGTCGCTCATCGCCATTGACGCCAAAGACTTGCCCACTCAGACGGAGAAGAAGAAAGGGAGCCTCCTGGCCGGGTTGACCATCATGAGAGTCATCAAGAAGAAGCAGCAGGCTTACTGCAAGTATATGCACTGCATGTACGAGATCCTGCAGGACCAATCCATGGTGGCCTTCTGTATCGCCATCTTCCTGTTCAGCCTGGGGGCGTTCCCTCCTGTGCTCTTTATAGAGGACGTGGCGCAGAGCGAAGGCCTCGTTGAAGAAGTCAGCGTCATTCCTCTGGTATCGATAGGGGCCATTGCCACTTGTGTGGGTAAACTAGCGCTGGGCGTGCTGGTGGACATCAGGTGGATAAACGGCATCTATCTGTATGCCTTCACAATGTTTGCCGGAGGTGTGGCACTGCTCCTTATCCCGAGCACGAAAACTTACCTGGGACTGCAGATCCTGTCCGCTGTCCTGGGGTTCTTCTCTGGAAACTGGTCTCTCACCTCCTACATCACCACCACGATTGTCGGTTTGGACAAACTGACACAGGCCCACGGCATCCTCATGTTCTTCGGGGGATTTGGGATCATGCTCGGACCCCCTGTTGTTGGTAAGTGAGCTTTTCTTCATCTCGCTACACCGGCAATTATTGTTTATAGGCAAGGGGCACAGATGGGTTTTATTTAGTGCAGTGTTCAACCAGGCAGAGCAAAGAGAAGAAAAAGGGCATGTTGACTTCAATGAGGAACCGGTCATTATTTAGCTGACTGCTGTATATGCCAGGGCTTCCTGCTGACTCACAATGTTTTTCTAATCTGTTTCCAGGGTGGTTCTTTGACTGGACACAGTCATATGACATGGCTTTCTACTTCAGCGGGGGCTGCGTGGAGCTAGGAGCCGTCATTCTCTTTCTGCTCAACCTTCCCTGCTGGAACAGGAAGCAGTCGAAGAACGACAGACCAGACGTCCTTTACATAAGCAACTGTGATAAAGTTGCCTCCGTAGCCTGAAAATAAGCCCCTTTTTGGAAGGACACGTTTTTCCTCTACTGCCAAGAAACCGTCCGCTGATAAACCACACGCAGAAACCTTCTGGGAGGAATTTTCTGTCTTTGACTCTACGGAATGTTCCTCCTCTCTTCTGCGGCCAGGTTCTAGCACCACCAAAATACTTGCCAGATGTTTTGAAATACAGGCCTTCACTCTGTCCTTTGCCTGCGTTTCTCAGGTTCAAGCCACATACTGCAGAGGATTTTAAAGGTTTGACCCTGACGCCTGTGTTTTTTATTATTGCCTCATTTTACGAGGTCAGCTGAACAATTTTGTTCAACTCCCAAATTCGACGTTGTGTTTAAGCAAACAGGTTTTCATTTTACTGTAGCTTTGAAAAAAAAGGCATGGTTCTGTTCATAAAACCTGGGAGAAAAACGCTGGGTGTTCAATCAACCTAATAAAAACCCAGGAATCTTACCAGAGCTGACAATACAGGGATTGAAAGGGGGGGAGGGAGCCCTTTTTGATACATTTTATTATAGCAACAAATACTTGGTATTTTGAATCTTAAATACGCAATCATGTACCTTTCATAAGTATAAATGGTAGTTAATGCCTGTTGGAACAATACAAAAGCCTTGCTTTATAGATCATTTTGTGTTCCACATACCTCCTGTTTCTACATCAGACAGACACTTTTGAACACGTTTTGCTGTTTCAAAAACATGTAAAAACACTGAAGAGTTCCTACTGTATTTTGAACCTTAACAGCATGTTGATTCTCTTCGTGGCATGATTATTAACACATCAGCTGTCATTTTCTTGAACCGGGCAGGTCCTTTTCCATCATTGTGGTGTGTGGTATAAATGTATGTTTACGTTATATGTGCGTATGTTTCTGCACACATGTTCGCACATGGGAACAATGCTGTGTGTGTCTATTGTTTGATGAACTTTCGTGTTAGCACTAGTTTGTAAAGTTCTACGTGCTAGTGATTTTTATATGCATAAAACCAGAGCTGTAAAGACTGTTTTTGTTTGAGTTGTAAGTTGATCATTGTGATCATAATTGTAATGGATCCATTGCAATAGGCTTTTAGAACCACTTGAATGTTGTTCAATTCACCACTACAAATTCATTTTTGTACGTTCCAGTTTCAGGCATAAGCAAATCTGGGACAATAGCTTTTGCTTATTGTATTTGTAGAGGGTATTTACAAGGTGCAGATGAGGGTATAATTAGTACCTAGAAGAGACCGTATCTGTGGCTCTTACCTTTTAGCCACTCTTATTTTGTATGCCAGTATTACAATATTTATGTATGTTATTGTTTTTGTTATATCACTTTATTTAAACAGTGCCAATAAAATATATTTCAATGATGGTAGATGTCATGGTTTGGGGCGTATTCATCGTGGAGTCTGAACCACATTTTGAATCTCAAGTTAACGGTTAACGGCGCTTTCCCCTCTCCCGGCAACGAGAGCGCCGGCGGGTCACCATGGTTACACCCGCGTCACGTGAGCAACACAAACCGCTACGCTAGCTAGCGCTGCTCCTCCATCCCGGCAGCTTTCTGCACACATCGCGAGGCCTCACGGCGGCGACGCAAGGGGACGTGGCGGCGATGGCGGCAATTATTCGAGTTTCTGAGAGCGCTTCGACACGTCGAGGAGGGAAAAACACTTCTACGTCGGCGAAAACGGAGAGTTCTCCCGTGAGCTGAAAGGGGAAAAAACATGGGCGCAGGCGCCTCGTTGTCGCTGTGTGTAAGTTCCGCTAACCGTTTCAGTTTGTCTCGTCCACCGGGGTTAATTTAGCCAACCGATATCATATCGTGTGGGGCAGCTAATTCACTGTTAAGCACTGTTGCGTGTGTGGCGTTGTTAACCACCAAGTTCTCAACCTGACTGCTAGCGAGCTGAATGTGTGTGTGTGTGTGTGTGTGTGTGTGTGTTTACATGCGCGCGCTTCATCGGGGAAATATGGCGGTGTTCCCTAACTTGGTTCGCATTGTATTGCTGAATAACGAACGACTACCTGTCCCAACACGGACCCAGTCACGTAGATGTAGTAAGGAGACGACGTGATGCCGTCATGGGTCTGACGTCGCAACGTTCCCTTGTTTCCGTGCAGAGTGACGCGTCCTCGGTGAGAATCCTGAGGTCAAGCACTAAGGTCGGTCCAGAGCCAGTTGGTCCCACCCTGGTCCCGGAGCCCGCACTCTCTGCCACGGGTGTGTTTGGTGTTGCCTTCGAAACACTGCGAGAGCGAGGGCAGATGGTTCGTGGGATACCCCTTGTGCTAAGAGACATGGTGGAGTTCCTGGATACCCACGGTAATCAAAGCACATCCTCACTACTCTAGTTCTGTGACTTTTTTTCCGTCATGTCTCTGTTTCCTTCCTCCCCCTTTTTACATCCCTCCATCTTTTTTATCTTGGTCTCTCGATGCAAAACATGACGTGCACCGACTGATTCTGTTTTTATCTCGATAGGAATGCACCACAGAGGTCTGTTCCGCCTGTGTGGGTCGGTGGTACGTACCAGGAAGCTGAGGCAGAGATGGGACCATGGAGAACGGGTGGACTTGAAGCACGAGGAAGATGTCTCCACCGTGGCCTCGCTCCTCAAACTCTTCCTTCGGGAATTGCCCACCCCCATAGTTCCTGAACCCCAGTGCAAACGGCTGCTGCTGAGCCTCGCAGGTACTAGGAAAGCACGTCTGACGTGGCATGGTTAGGTTCGCAAAAGGATGGGGGGGCTGTTATAATGGTAGTGGAAACACTGCTGTTCAGGGAAGAGTTCATCTACACACACTTGTGTAATATGATTACGTTATATTGTGCATTCATAGATCCCTTATTTAAATGTTTTTAGGAGATGCAGATGAGGCAGAGCTGAACGAGTCTCTGAGAGAAAACCTTTGCCATCTCCCCGGTGACAACCTCATTATTTTGTCTTACCTCATCCACTTCCTGTCCAGAGTGGCCGCTCACAGCCAGTCGAATCAGATGCCCTTGAAAAGTCTGGCAACCATCTTTGGGCCTTGTATATTCCAGTAAGTTGTTGTTTTCCTCTCCAGACCCGTACTGGGATACCAGATTCCTGCTGTCAAATCTGAACCGCCTGGGTGGACGTAACAAAATTAGTTTGGAAGACCATTGCTTGATTCCACGCAGGCTCGTCTCACATTCATTCATTTTCTTCTGCTACATCTTTTTTGCACAGCTCCTCCACTAAGTTAGGGTGGAGTCAGATTTGTCCAGGAAGTTGGCTGATAACACACAGGATGACAGCCCGATATAATCATCGGGATTCTCTCCCTCCTGTTTAAAGAACGCTGCTATCGCTGTAAATCTCTGCGCAGTCACACCTATAACTTGCCTCGCATTGCTTTAGTTATTGCCACAGAGGAAAGCACGTACGCTATTCTATCAACAAGCAGTAGCAGGGGAATAGAGGGAGGTTATCATGGTTTGAATAAAGACGGTTAAAGGACAAATGAAAAATACATTGCGCAAAATAATTTCCCCATAATATTTTTGCGCAATGTAAGGCTTGATTGAATTTTTCATAATACTGCCATCAATGTAAACTGAAAATGGGTTTGTATGACAGACACTGTAGCACATGCTCCTGCCGTGCAGCATGTGTGACAGTTTCTTTGGCCCGCGCACAATAACTGATGGATATTTATCGTCCAAGACTTCTCAGCATGTTGCTGTTATGCGATCCATGTGGCAGGCTTCTCCTGTCCTCTCTCTCTAGTTGACCTGTCCGCAATGTAAACACACATGCTCTCCTTCTTCACTTCCTAGTCTCTGGGTGTCTGCTATGTCAAACTTTTACCTGTCATCTTTACATCGTAGTCCGTGAAAACAAACAGCTGTTTCAAGGTAACCCGTGGGCTCACTTCCGGATTGTGAGTGTTATGTCAAATTCACCAGAAGCAGGTCAAATTTTACCGTTTAGAAGTTGCTGTGGTCAAAGTGAAGCTTTCTGAGCTTTTAGTCTGACCGGTTCATCTCAGTTTACTTCTGCATATGCACCATTCCACTAGATGGAACTGTTTTCCATTATGTTGACACATTATGTCAGGAATATCTTGGAGATCTAGTACATGTGACGTTGTGTTCTCCTCTTTGTGCAGTGTTCCCTCGGGACCCGGGATGCTAGAGGAGCAGTATTTGTGTAACGCCCTGTTGCTGCATCTTCTGAAGCATCAGAATGATCTCTTTCCTGTCCATGCCGAGGACACGGTGGCCTCCTCCATCGCCTCCTCCTCCTCCTCACCTCCTCCCACTCTATCTGCTCTTTCACACTTTGAGGTAAACCTGGTTTGTTCTATTCCCTCTGACAGAAGTGGTTACATCATTAATTCATTTTCATGTTCTGTGTTTTTTTTTGACGACATCTTTCTGATCAACAGTTTTTTCCAACAAACAGAATCATTTTATGCCAATTATTTTATACTTGCATGTACAATGTGCTCTTTGTTATACTCTGTAGGTCCGATCCAGCAGCCGTGTGGAGAACTTGGAGGGAGAGACCACTTCCATCTCAGCGAGCAGTTCTTTCAACCCAACCAAAGGGGTGCAGTGTCCACTCAACAGGTCCGGTCATTACCGTAGCATCTGTTACCCTGTAGCTGCACTACAAACAGACAGACATCACTGAGCGGTCATGTGGTATGAATATTCACAAGCCTCTCCCTTATTAATCCCGTTCTGGGGGAACATTTGGACATTTCACTCTGTATTCAGCTGTCAGGTTGATGGGTGTGTCATTGGTAATAAGGCTTCGATGTCACCCACAGTTAAATAAGGCCAACATCTTAGGCTTTTTCAGAGGTTTTCTAATTGCAAATACAAAAAGATAACACCAAAGTTTTGCTGCTTGAAAGAACAGTGAAAGGGACAATGGTGAACTGGTGTCCCAGACAGAATCTGCATACCAGCTGCTTGTGGGCTTTTCTATTTTTAAATTGTGAATTTGAGTTGCCACGAGGTTGCAGCTATCAAACAACATTTATTTATTGTCTATTCTATTCTGCCGGCTGGCAACACGCAGCGCGGCCTTCCTGTGCATTGGCTCAATCATTTCGTCCATGTGACGTCATAATTTGTGTTTGTGTGTTGAGTTGTGCTTCAAGTTAACGGAGGTAAAGCCTTTTTCCTCTCGTCATTTCAAGCAAACCTGCGAAGTTCTTCTGTTCACTTTATGATGAAAAACATCTGTCCTTGGTAGAATTTGGGTGTGGTTGTTGTTGTTATTGATGTTATTGCAAAATAAGCATTAGTCATCACTAATAAATCCATGTGAGCTACTGGCAAAATTGGATATGGGGGTCATACAGATATTCAAAGCAAGGAGCACGGCTGGAGATGCCAGACTGTAATTTAACTACTCACACGTGTCAGTTGAAAGAGAAGATGTAGCTGCAGTGGTTCGACAGGTGGCACGACGTGTGTGTGTGTGTGTGTCTGTGTCCTTTAAAGGGTTGGGGGCCCTCCTAAAGTCTTTGCTTTGCAGAACTGAAACGGAGCAGAGTAGACGAGTTGAAGCTGTGCCGTGTCAGTTTTTTTTGTGGTCTCACCATGTTTTTTTTAGCACTCACAGGACAAAAACAAATAGAAATCATTTTTCATCTAACAGCTTCCCACTCTCATCTGTGTTAGCAGGTTTAATGAGCTGCATCGTCAACTGTCCATCTTTCTAGATCCGTCTGAAAGACTCTTTCCCCAAAAATTCGAAGCACACACTGTTCCACCTTGTTATGTCTCCACCACCTTCACAGTCCTTATTGATTCTATTCTAATTATACCTACGAAGCAGGTGTCTGTTAAATTCTAAGAAAAAGAGCCGAGGGATATTCACCTACTAATATCTCATGTCTACTACATGTGAGCAATGCAATTATTCCTAAATTGATACTTTTTCGGGTCAAGTCTGAATAAGTAGGTCAGAAAGTATACGTTGTGTAATGGAATAATCTGGTAAAACTGTCTGGTCTCAGCCTCTCTGTCCTACTTCAACCATTTAATAGGGCTAGAACTGGGATTGTTGATCTGGGAGTTTATATTGGGGTCTCTGAGCGTGTGTGTGTGTGTGTGTGTGTGTTTGTGTGTACCGGTAATTGAAGGGGATGGGTGAGCTCTACGCCTCCGGGTGTCACTTGTGTTTCTGACCGTTCACTCCTCCTCATCTGTGCTTAATGGCCATCCCTCTTAAGCAACAAGCTGTTCTCCGTTGTCTGTAGATGCGTCCTGCTGTTTTCAGCATATACGTTTTGGCAAACCATGTTCTCTTGTCTCATCTGCTTCAGCATCAGTGACAACAACCCCGGCTCGACTCTCTTCCTCAAGTGAGTGAGAAAAATGCAAGGTGGTCTTGGTTTTCCCGTTGCACTAACCGTTGTCTACCTTGTGTATGTTTACTCGCTGTACACGTCAGCGGTGGGTTTACTCTGACCTCGTCTGATCAGGGCTGCAGGATGTCTGAGGGAAGGGAAGCGCGGTGCAGGCTTTGCAATGTTATGTCCCGGCTGCTGACCCCGCTGACCCGTCTGCTGCAGGTTGCGGCGCTGGGGTCATGCACCGCTTTGAGCAAGTACGTGGCGGTTGCTTTTGGTTCACCTCGGGGCGTATCGGTCGGGCTGTTTTTACTGGGAGCAGCTCGGCAGAGCTTGGCGACGACGTGTCGCATGAGATGAGGCTCTCCAGTTCTCCCTGTGATTCATGCTCGGACATTCCCGACTTAACTAGGTCGGTGCAAGTAAAGATGTGTCGTTGCACTCGACACGTAGTGTATTTGTGCCAACGTGACATGGATCTATCTTCTAGTCTAGTTTTATTCACCTGCCATCTTTTAAATATTTGATCAATATTCTACTGGTTCGGTTGGAATGTTTATTCTTTCTTTAATGTGCTTTTTATAGTCGTCAAAGACACTTTGCATCAAACAGAACTATCATACGAACAGTATACACCACATTATATATGACGTATACAAACCAGTAGAAGCAGACATGGACATGAAAGGTTCTGTGATGTCCTCTTGTTATTAAAGGGTTATATCTGATCTATAAAGCATTAGCCGTTATACTGTGTATATTACACTCTGCCTCATTAGAGTGTGGTTTCACATTTTCCTATGTGTGCACTCCTCTGTCTATCTCACTCTCTCCCTTCCCGTGTCCCTCCACAGTCCTGACACACCGGCGCAGGGTTGTGAATCCAGCTCTGACGTCAGCGCTGACATTCAGAAGCTGACTCCAGACCAGGAGGCCTCGAAGGAGAGAAGTGTCAGTTCGGAAGGGGGGGAGGTGCTCTCCCGCTACACCGACCCGGGGCCGGACACACACTCGCCTCCTCTGCTTGTCTCTCCTTTTGCTGAAATCAGGTGACGTTTACAGCTGGAATCACATGAGAAGACTCCAATTTACAATTCGATAGATTTAAATGACTGTTTATTTATCAACAGGAGGTCACCATTCACCCCCGCATCAATGGAGACGGAGGAGGAGGTGGAATCCGAGGGCAGAAGGACACTGTCTTCACCCGTTAAAGACAACTGCTCAACGGTGTGCATCGTTGATTTGCTCTTCTTTGTTTATTTTAATTTGCGCGGTAGACATGTTGTTGATTAAACAAGAAAAACCATACAGCCACTTTCTGCCACTGCACATGCTGCAAAATACATTCTGAGGAGCATGCAGTGATATGAAGCGGAGCACGATCATGCTTTCAATGTTTGAAGAGGAAAATCTTTCAGCTCAGCATGAGTAGAACTAAATTGTTCTTCAGTCTTCCACAGATAGCAGACACAAATCAACAATTTCAGACGGCCGGCAAGCGGATGAATCACCGACTCAGCACGCGGAGAGGTGTGAGGAAAGTTTCTGTTTGCCTCCCGTCTCGGCTTTGTGATGGTTTTATAACGGCAACCACTTGTTCATGAAAATATGTCAAAAAAAATCTTTCAAAAACACTTTCCGGTCAAAGAGAAAAACAACGATGTAGTCATTTTGGAGCACTTTTAATGTATCGTGATCAACTTGATCTTCTTCGCTCGGATGCGGTTCGGCTCATCTCGCAGCCCAGTTAGATGAAAAGTAGGTTAACGGAGCGCCGCTCTGCCCACAGTCGTGTTTTTGATGGAAGATTACAGTCCGGCTGACATATACTCGCCGCAGGGCCTCGCATGGAGCCCGTCATCTAGCTGGATGAGTAAGCACGAGCGCGGCGCCACGATGAGTTTTTGTTGGTTCTGCCTCTCCGGAGCCACAGGGCCGGTCCTCTAAATTATACCTCATTAGTGTCAAACATGAATAAGTCATGACCTTTATGACTGTAGGGCCTCGGAGGCTGGGCCAGGGTCCCGTCTCCGAACATATTTGCTGCAGTATTGATACGGACGGAGCACAATGTTTACTGAAGTCACATGGGTTGTTGACCACAGGGAGAAACGCCGCTCTTATTTCAGAGAAATGTTATTGTATTTGCCCGTGTTGTTGACCGTTTTTTGTTTTTCAGCACACTGTGCAGCAACACAGGAGCCCGAATCACAGTATCTAAGAAGGTAATCACAGCCCTCCACGTAAATCTGTTTAAGTCTCAAATTGATATGAATGCTTGGTTAAATTTACAGCACAGGTAGTGGAAAAGGACGGATGTTAAACTGTTGTGTAGCTAGTTTTTTATTGACGCATTATTACCGGATTAACCCATATTATAACTGGAATGTATTCAATACACTCTGGGTGCCCTTTTTTAGTTTTGAGGCATCACACGGCTGTGTGATAATAACAGTAAATGTAATTGCTATTCAACTCAAGCCAATGATTTACTAGCGAAATTAGTCCATTTAAAAAATCTATTGTACTGGACTGTTACCGTTGGAGAAGCTCTTTCCACCTGCTGAAAAAGTTGCTAAAAGGATGTGTCTGTATGTGTCATCGTAAACGTGTACGTGGGGGATTCAGCGCGTGGGCCCCCGCAGGTGTGTGTCAGTAAGTGGGCTTCAGGAGGGAGACTTCATCGTATGCCGTGTGTGTCTCCTCAGGGGAGAGGAGGAGACGGAAGAGGGTGTAAGGGTTCTTCCTACCGACGCGGTGAATGCAGAGGCAGCCGTGATGTAAGTTCTCCTTCCCCACCGTCTTTCCAATGCACAAATGCACACATTCTTTAAGTTGAGGGTATCTATGGCAACAGGACAGTTGATGCCTCCAGAGTTGTGTTTATGTGTGCGTATTGCTCTGTGGGTGTGTTGCTCCGACATAACGGCCTCGCTTCTTCCCCTCCCTCCCTCCATTCCACCCCCTTCGCGTGACGCACAAAGCGGTTTATTTTTTTATTTTTATGAATGAAACAGCGGTGGAGGGAGGAAAAGGAGGAGCAGAGCCCCTCTCTGCTGCTGCTGCTGCTGCTGCTGTTAACCCTGATGATGATGATGATGATGCTGCTGAGAATGATGTCACAGCACCTAAACGGACAAAATAAAAAGGAGAGCTGCTCTAATTCCAACGTTTCAGCCCTCTGAATATTTTTCAGGCTGAATTTCTCATCAGAATCTTATCGCATCCACAGCCAACATCACACTGATGCAGAGGCACCCGGTAACGGCACTCCCTGCGGCTCCATCAACTGGGCTCTTTAGCTCGGTCTGACAACGTTGCCATGGAAACGCCTCGTCATTCAGGGTGCCTCTCTCCTCCCTTGCGCGCACGCCCACACCACACGCACCGACATGAACGGTATTCCCGCCGCCTCCCCTCTGCTCCCTCCTTCTCCCGTGCATTTTGAATAATCCATGTGGAGGATGCTCAGCAGCATAAGTGCCGGGAACACCGCTCAGATTTTAAGGCTCGTTCTTTGGGGAAGCCACAGCCGAGGACGGTCCGTTTCCCTGACAATGTGCCCCACGGCACGTGTGCCGAATGCGACGGAGATCCGCTTTTGTCACTGACCGTGAGCCTCGGATGATCAAGGATTTTTGCTTTTGCGAGAAGTTTGTGCGTTGCACTTCAGCCACCCGGGAAACCTGCCTGCTCACAGAGCCACACTGACTGTGTTCTGACTCATTTCTTTCTGGGGAGGAAAAGGCAACCACTCATCTCACCTCGTCGTGCCACTCTGTCCAACCACGCTTCTGTGCCACAGTATAAATGTTCATAGGCGAGAGAAGAATGGTTTTACAGGGCTTCTCGAGATACCTGCGCGGCATGTGAAGAATCCCACCGGACAAACGGCGGCGTCTTTCGTACTTCTCCTGTCGCTGCCCACCGGCATCCTTGAAGCCATGTTCTGCTTCTGTTTCCAGAGCCCCTCCCTCAAGCTACAAGCCCTGGAGAATGACTTGGGACCACCGGCCTCACCGGTAGACCCCCAGGTTCGGGATAACCAACCTGCCCGGCAGGAGCCTCTTTTTAGTGAGGGGCAGGACCTTTATTTGACCCGGAGGCTGCTTCTCCACTCGCCGTCGTCACCGGCTGAGGATCCGGCCGACTCATCACAGTCTGGTAAGACGATGACCACAAAGTCCTGATCACTGAACTTCGTTAAATGTCCATTGTGGCTTGTAAAAGCCCATTTCCTATTGATTAAACTGATCTCCTTGTGTCATAAAAATATGTAAACACATTATGTGGCCAAAGCATGTCATGGTACAGTCATTTTCAGCTTGCAGGTGTCATCGGGAATCAAACCCGCAAGAACGGCACTGCGCACTCTATCGGTGCCCTTATTTATAGAATCTACTTCATCCTCGGTTTTCATTCAGAGCTTCTTCCAGGCTGATAAATTCCATTGGCGGATGTTAAATACAGGCCAATAAGTCTCGACCGCAAGCTCATCATTCATCTTCATCAGAGCAGGGTGTGTCCTTTTGTTGATGAAGCGAGTAAGGTACCATGCTCTCACTGTGGCACGACTGCACAACCACCTATGACACGATGAATTTGTACATATATGCAGCAGTATCTCATATTTATTATAGTGTAAGTATCTTTTATACTTTTGTTTTTCCATGTTTCTGTTCCAGCTGAATGTTGAAAGTAGTTTCTCTTTTTTTTTTTTGTTTGAATAGTCCTTTTTTCTTTCTCCTCCTTTCTCTATCCTATACCCCCTTTCCTCCCCTGTGACAACTCTGATTGACTCAAATGAGAAGTAGTAAAAAGGATTCAGGACTCCAGTTGATATTGTGTCTCTTCTGTCTGTTACAGTACACATGGCATCCCCTCCGTCATCGGAGTCCAGTTCTCCCCCGTCCATTGCAATGCTTTCTGGAGGGATGTCAGGAAAGGACAGCCTGCCGAGTCCACCGGGACCTAAAACCAGCCCACTCCTCTCTTGTTTTACGACGAGCGACTGCCCCATTCCGTCGCCTCGCTGCCCCAACCTTTCTCACAGCCTGCGCTACAACCTGGACCCCGACACAGCCCCTTCTCCACCCTGCTCACAGCACATACGCATGTAAGAACTGTTTTCTCAACAACTTTCCTCAGGGATGTTGACTCACAGATGGGGTTGAATGATATTCTTTCTTATTTGGCTCTCTTAGAAGTGGTTTGAAAAAGATCGTACTGTAACTGTGCCAATGCTGTAAACAACTGGAGGATTTCTGGCCGCCATGTTAGTTTAATGCACGCTAGCAGCCCTCCTTGCGTCACGGAACTGTTTGTGTTCCTGTGTTCAGGGCTCGCAGCAGTGACCATACAGAGTCAGACGTGTCCATCTTGGTGCTCAAGAGACACATTTACACCGTGAAGAAGCGGATTGGCCGTTTTGAGGATCGTTTTGAACAGGAGAAGCACTACAAGGTGAGGGACGAAGGGATGCTTGGCCCGGCTGGATTCTCCTGTGACGATTGGGTAGAAAGTTATTGCTGCAGAGTTCGAAGCTCTGTGTTTTTTCCATAAATAACGAACTCTCAGAGTTCTCTTGTCCTGTTTTATTGTGTAGGTGTGTGTGTGTTTTGGTTTGTGTCTCTCTGGGTGGAAAAGAGTAAGTTCTAAAATGAAGCTGTGGATGCGTCCACAAGGAACACTAGAGTGAATTACTCCCTCTTCTGGTACATAAAAGAATTACAGTTATTTAAACCATGCATCCTGGTTCAACTGATTAATGGCTGCTAAAGGAAAAAAAAGCTGTAAAAATCTGATTTCACCCAGCGCAGGGGACAGAGTAGGTAAGGTACTTGAGTCTTTTGCTCATGTGACTTTGTTGCTTTTTGTAAGGCGGCACATAACGACAAGACGGCACATCCAGAGGTTGCTGGACTGATGAAGGAGCTCGTCAAGAGTCGCAAGCAACTCAAAGGTAGTTTTCAAAACCATGAACGCACAGCCAAACACAAACGATTGCAATGGTGGAAGAAAAAAATACTGATTAACAAGTGAAAGTACTAAAGTCAGCTAATAGATGAATGGATGTCATGGTAGTATAATGTCTGTGCTCTATAAAAGAATGAATTGTATAGTATGCCATAATGTATTTTAATAGATGATATAGAGACGATGTCTCTCAAAGACAGTGATTTTATAGTACGTCATTCAATTCTCGTAACATAGTGTTTCATACATTTTTGGTAAATTGACATCAAAATGTCTTTTTCAGAGTTGAAGCAGAGACAATCGGAAGGGAGACGGGAGGGAGACTTTATCCCATCACCTGAAACATGCAGTACCAGCACGGACCAGAGAGAGGCAGCACTTACTGGGAGTGAGCTGCAGCATCTCCACAACAGCAAGCCAGATGTGGAGGAAACCGTCAACATGATAACCAACCGGCTGCAGGAGAGACGGCGAGAGCTGGGCCTTGCAGACGCTGTTCAGGTTGACTTTCACCGCGCACACAAATATTGTAAGATACATTTCTCTGAATTTTGTTGCACTAAAACATTATCCATGTGCCTGTGTGTGCAGGAGGTGTCCCATTTCCAGCTGACAATGGAGAAGGCCAGTCTGCAGAAATGTCTGCTCTACTTTGAGAACCTGCACGGACAACCGGTAAGACGAGTCGTACCCGAAAACGGTTGGCATCTCTATTTGTTCGTTTACTACCATCAATAACAGAGTGGTTTTCTGTCTGCAGAGCACCAGGCAGGAGCGGACTCTGATGAAACCTTTCTACGACCGGTACCGTCTTGTCAAGCAGCAGCTGCTCTCCTCTAATGCGACGGCGGTCATCACGACCATTGTGAGTAAACCTCTGTGCGTCCAACCGTGGATCGAACTCACTCTGTCGCTCTCCAGCGGCAAGATAGGAGAGCTGCACAGGACGGACGAGCGTTGCCAACCTGTGTGTGTGTTTGGGTCACACAGGAGGAGGAGGAGGGCTCCGATGAAGAGCATCCTAAACTGCAAAGCCCCAGGCTGCATCCACTCCAACCCAAGTCTTCCAGGTGTGAGTCGCTGCTCCTGCCTTCCCTAGAAATGTCTGAAACACCTCTGGTGTCCCCACTGGAGGAGGTGAAGGATTTACAGCCACAGATTATCACCATGGCAACACTACACGAAGCTTCCAGGTACTGTGCGTGTGCGATGGTGTTGTTGCATGATCAGCTCTGATGAGATTTACTATTTTATTTTTTTCCTTCCGATAGATTTCTTTTTAAGCTTTTTGTTGTTAGAGCTGTGGCTAAATTAGATTTTTTTTTTTACAGACCAGAATTGCTGGATCACCTCAGGGCAGCACGATCAGAGAAACGGCGGCTTCGCCTGGCGCTCCGACGCTTTGAGGACCACTTCTACATGCAGACCGGCAGGTAAAGACACACACACAGCAGATCCAAACTACTTGGCATTTGAATTTTTTTTTATTTAGTCTTTAAATAAACTTGGAACATTTGGTTTCCAACAATGCCTTGTGAAAAAAAAAAAACATCCTCAAAAGAAATTCCATCGTGAGAGTACGACGGCGTAACGCAGGGAACAAAGCACAGAGAGCTCAGGAAAGAGATAAGACGTTTGCTCTGAACTGTACTACTTGTTAGTCCCCCAAACTAAACGGTACATTACGTTTTTAATTACAATACACACTGTTCAAAGCTATCGGAGTAAGGCAACATAGGGACTATCAACCGGTAACGGAAGCTGCCGCAGGTTGTTTTCTAACTACTGAAGTTCTGCCTTCTCTTTGCATCTTTTTCTTTTTTCTCTATTCATGGTTAACAGGGCTTGTCAGAAGGAGGACCGCGGGCCGATGGCTGAGGAGTACTGCCAGTATAAGAACCTCAAAGCGAAGCGCCGGCTCCTCGAGGCCCTGCTCAGTAAACAACAGGACTCAACCAAGACTAGTTGAGTTAACTCACAGTGGGATTTATTTAACAGGACTTGATTGGTTGTTTCGTGCCATGCTCATGATGTTTATGCACTTTACATGAATAACGCTGATGGAAAGTAAATGAAATGCAGTTTTTGTCCCAAATACATGTCATTTATGACAGTGTATTTTCTGAAGCACTTATATATGTCAAGGATGCTGAGCTTGTTAATTACATATTAGTAATTCACAATTACTATACGCATGTTATGGCACTCTTGTTACTTGCCTTTTCTTTTGGACAGCTCTGTCCATAGTTAATGTGGAAACTGTTATCTTTGCAAAAATAGGTGTCAGCTTGAATGCAATCGATGAGACAATCATGTTGTGTTTGTGCATGTTAGTTGTGTAGTCCTACATTGTGCTGTGATATGCATTAAGAATTTGATCAATTAAAATGTTGCCATTCCGGTGCAACATCTACATGTCCTCAAATTGGCGTTTCTCCCCCCATTTTGCCTGTGTGAAGTTAAATCCCCCTCGAATGCAGTTGTTGACAATGCTTATGACATTGTGCACTTCTGGTTTATATAGTTTTCTATATAGAGAAATAATATATATATATGAATGTATCAATAAAAATAAATATTTTTTCACATTTAAACAGTTTATGGTTCTACTTTCTTTCTTTCCTTCCACAGACTACGATAAAATAACGACTATTACAGAAAAGGTTGCTGTGGTTGAGGTACAAACAGCTTTCACACGCATGCTGCCGCATCATGCTTTTTTTTTTTTTTTTAAAGGTTAATTAGTTCACACGTGGTCAAATACTTAGTGAATACACATTTTTAGAGGCTGTTGCATTAGTACTGTTACGATTCTACAGAGGTGTCATGTCTGGTTTTAAATACCTTTGGTACAACAAAAGATGACCAAGGATGCTGCAGCTCTAGAACACTGTAGTACCGGTCCACTAGGAGGAGAAAAGCTCTGAAAACATTTCGGAAACGACAGCTAAAGTAACTCGGAAACCACTAAATGCTCGTCTGCAAAGAAACTGCAGACACTCAATCATCAGCATATCAATAATAACACACCAAAGGTCATTAATAAAAGATAGGACAAGAGTTTAAAGAGAAACAGGAAATTGAACAGAAGCAGCCCATGTTTGTTAATAAAGTTAAAGGGTTTAGTCGGTGCCGAGGGGAAGGGTCTGTGTTCTTGGTGGTCCCTCACGTGGGAAATCTTTAGGTATTTCTTTTTTCTTCTTTTACATCGAGGGGAACCCTTTTTAGATGCGGAGACGAAGCAGCAGGTGTCCGAGCGTGTCCTCTCTTCTTTGGGAATGGATGTCTCTTCAGAGGACACATCTGGGAGCCTTTCAAATCTGCTGCTTCATGCATGTTTCGGTCTGCTTCATGAGTACATGTGGACTTACTGTGTGTGTGTGTGTGTCTGTGTTTAGAGGTCGGTCAATGCTACTCCACCCGCCCCCCCCTCGTCCTAAAATGCACCTTTCCTTAGCGTCCCACGCTGATGTTGCAGGTCTTGCAGCTGGGGTCCTTCTTGGCGTTCACCGTGGACATGCTCATCAGCTGGTGCCCGCTGATCTCGGCCACCGTGCCCGACGCCAAGTCCACGGGCTCCGTGTAGATCACCTCCAGGATGACGTCCTGGGCGTGGTGGAACACCAGGCCGCCGTCGCCCGCCTCCCCCTGCTTGCAGGTGAGGAAGCGGTTGTCGGCGATGTCCAGCGCGGGCAGCCTCTGCTTACAGAAGTCGTCTCCCGCGGAGCCTTTCGGCGCCAGGACCAGAATGACAAAGTGGTAGGCCGTGTACATGCAGTAGAAGTCTCCGAAGTAAAGGTTGGTGTCGGGGTTGAAGAGCGTCTCGGCCTTGACCTCGAAGCGGTGGCGGCCGTACGGGGAGTCCTGCGGAGGCTTGCCTGTGTTGAACTCGGTGTTGCAGCTGAAGAAAAGGCCCTCCAGCTTGCCACTGATGGGCGACCCGTGGCTGCCGCTGTTGTCTTTCACCGACTGCAGCATCCGGTTGTCCTGCGCCTCCCTGGAGTTTGGGGAGTAACGAAGTTGGCAGTGAACAAGTATAGCACGCAATCAGCAAAAAGATGTTTCCGCCCCCCCCTTGGCCAATGAAAGCAATTTTTGAGATGCCAGAAGGCCGAGGCATCCCCTCTTTAAAGATATCATTTAGTGTATTAGACGGTATCAGAAACGACCTCGAAATGTAGGTTGTGACAATAAACAAGAGTGCACTGAATGGAAAATATATTATTTTAGAACTATGATTACATTTACTTAGTCCTGCTTTTCAAAAAGAGGAAAAAAAATTCTGGAAACCAATTCATACATTCAACATTGCAAGCGATGACTGGAAAAGAAATACGCAGCTGCCACAGAATCGCTGAGTCAATCTGGAGCTCCAAAGCTCCAATTATGAACTGTAATTACACTGCTACCACTCCAGAGGTTGTCATTATACCCTCAACCGATGCTTTGTTGTGAGCATGATGGAATTAGTCCGAGGCCTCATCAACTGAACGTCAGTACCGCTTTCCCCCACGCGATGGTGCAGTTCAACCGAAGCGCGGGAATTAAAGTACAACAGATGCGACTGGGCAAAAGGAAGGAAGTCTTTCCAGATGACGTCATGTTGTAAAGCTCCAGCCGGATTGCTCACAAGCTGTGGCTTTGGTACAGACACAATGTGCTTCGTCAGGCGAAGAGAAAAGGCCTCGCTGTTACAGGAGCAAGTAGGTTGCAAAATATGCCGTGATGCAGTATGCCATTTTTAAAGAATGTCACCGTATTGTATGTCAAGGAAATATCCCCAAAAATGTCACAGTATAAAAATAGCATCGTATTTTATTAAGTCGTTTTTTTAGTAGCTCCTCTTACACGACTGGATCAAAGGAATTAGTCGATGCTTTGTACTTGGCAACAAGTATGTAGCTCAAAACCAAAATACATTAACCCGAAATGACATCGTCATCATGTTGTTATAGAAGCTGCAGTGGGATATGAAAATGTTGTTTAGAGTCTGCAGATGGATGCGGTGTACTGCAGCTTTCTCACTATCAATTATTTACTATTGCGACGTCCTCGGAGGCCCAGGAGCCGCGTCGCATCTATCCGTCACAGAATTCCTTTACAGCACTATATTAACAATGAATGCAGCACAACCTTGGCTAAAAGGTCACATTTATGTCATAAAGCACCAGTTGTAAGGTGAGTAAGGTCACCAGATGCCAACGAGGGGAAAAGACAGAAGTTTTTGGTCTGAAATAACTGCTTTTTTTTTTTTTAAATGAAAAGGTGAATATAATTTAATTAGAAATGTGTGTGCAAGAAAGCTATTCAAAATGAGAATTTTAAAATGTTTTTAAAAAGGAGCGGAGGAAATCAGTAAAGCCATGTAGTCACACATCTAAACTGATATCTTGACAAAAACTGTAGAAATCACAGTGTACTTGTCGCATATGCATACCTGGCGTGGTCAAAGTACTCTTTATTCTGGTTCCGGTAGAAGACGGAGAAGCGCAGCATCCGGCCCGCTATGACCTCGGCCTTTTGCATCAGCTGGTTTAGATGCACTGTGGAATAATCTGGTAAACAGACACAACACACAACGCAGTGAAAATTACTTTGCTTTCATCCGGAAGATCATAAACCAGGGTACAAATGTCGTTAGTAGAAATGTAATCGTCTGATTCTAATCACGAGGCGGGACTACGAGTCGTGGAATATGAACTGTGCATGTGTGCGCAGTGACCCTGACGGCCCTTCCTCCCATTTAGCTTCCACCAACCACAGGGTGGATTTACCCACCAGACAAACAAACAGGGAAGATCTTTCATTCAAAAGTTAAAGGACCACGAACAAAAATGAAAAGACTACGAAGAAGAATATAAATGTCAAGCAAATTTGATTCATACAGCCTATTTTTTTAAGTCAAGGCTGGTGCTGCTGCCTGTGAGACGGCGCTGAATAAACGCTGTGTGCACTGAGAGACCAAGACGGACGAGGCAGCAGCATCTCCAGCCTGCTTGAGATGTAGAGGACCAACAGCATCATGATGCACCCTCCCTTTTACTGCACCTTAATCTCACACACACACACACACACACACACTTTCCCTGATTGTACTCCTTCCTCCCATCCTCCCATCTCTACTGGTGCTCCTCACCCTCCCCCATTCTAAGCCACTAGCCAGCGACGTTGAACTTGGCGACCTCTGCATCAGAACATACGCAGCACAGCTCCCCTCCTTCCTTTAATCCTTATTCCACCCCACCCTCCCCTTCTGCAGCTCTGCATCCGTCATATTGTGCTCTACCCTAATTACCCCCAGTAACGTGACTCAAATAAAAAAGGTCCTCAGAATGCACCATGGTGCCGAAAGCTGCGTTCTATTCACCGGCAGTGCAGAACTCGATGATCTCGCTCCACTGGGAGATGGCGTAGTCGCCGTCCGTCTGTTTGGACGCCGTCTGGACGGCCACGGTGTACTCTGTGCGGGGGCTCAGGAACCAGTGACCTCGGACCGTCATGGGCAGCGGCACTGCCTTGGCTACCAGCTTGGTAGGAACATCCTGGAGGGAGAGACAGGAGGGAGGAGGGAGGTGAAAGAGGACAGGACGTCGGTCAGGAAGAGATACCCCAGTGAGGCGTCGGTAATGTAAACATGTAAACATGAAGACGCGCGTTACACTAGTGTCCGTTGGCTTCCCGTTAAGTTTCTGTACGTGCACCATTCACCCCCCCTCCCCGGCCTCAGCGGGCCTCAGCAGCTCATTGATTGGAGCAGGAGCCTCTGCCTAGCAACAGACTCAATCTGTTCAGCCGCCAACACTTTGGTTGCTGCGCACCGGAATCCAAATAGTACGATAAGGTCACTCGGCTGGGAAGAAGAGAAACGCCCAGCAACACGACACCCAGTGAATGACTGCAGGGGGAAAAGTGAGGACCCTAGTTCAATAAATCAGATCACCTGACTGTCCATCTGAAAGACTGCTTCGAGTCGTGTCAGTGATCGCATTCGTTTTGCCTCAAGCACCACAACAAAGTTTATCTTGAGGTAAAATACGGATATTTCAGCCCGACTTCTATTGTTTTAGGTGTAACGGGTCGAGCGTCATCGTCCCGCCAGATGCTCGGATCATCGCCATCACCAACACGATGTCGTAGCCATGAAGGGAGTAGAAATGACATAAGCGCTGATTGTAGGTCAGCGTGCATTTCTTATGGATGTATATTACCTATGAACCTATAAACAGTTGGATCATAGTGCATTATTGAGCACACATTATATATATTATACACACAGAAATATGTGCACACTATTGTTTTTAACACAAATATGTATATATGCGAAGAGAAATAGGTATTCATGCCCAGAATGCTTTACAGTTTATTAAGTTTGTGTATACTGCCGTTTGGTAGCACAACACATTTTATTCTTGACACTTTTCGTCTGTACTTATGAAACGCCGCCAACAACAACAACGACGACGACAAGCCTCTTGTTGATCTCTCATGTGTGCACTACTTTAAACGGTACCTTGTGTTTGAACTTGTTGGAGTTTTTGTTCTCCTTCTTGTTCAGGTCAATGAAGTAGTGCGTGATGCGCTCCTTGCCGCGCGGCTCCATGTCCCAGCAGATCCTGAAGGAGTCACAGGTGATGTTGCTGATCTTGATGTTCTGAGGAACAGGGAGCTCCTCCATCTCAGAGATACTACCTGTATAGTAATAAAAGAAAGAAAAGACAACAATGAGCTATGTTGTTGTATGTCTAATGGAACTATAATTATATATATATATATATATGAGAGAAATAAAACTATTGTTCATATTGTCCTAAATATTCACCTAAATATTAAAATGGATTCAATTTTAGTTTTGAATCTTGACTCAAGTGTTGTGAGACACATCTCAACGATAGTAAATGGCGGCCACATTAAATCAGATGAATAATAATGAATGTAATCTTGTATCGTGGCCCAGCTTCATACAGCCTTCAGAAATATATTTGGTTTCCCTTAATCTAAATCCATAACCTGCAGTGTCTCAGTAATTATTTCACAGACAGCACAAACTGTAGTATAGCGTGTACGTACACACACACACACACGCGACCATATATGTTGCCATGGAAACACATCAGCCTGCCATGGAATTACATCATCCACACAAAGCACACACACATCTGCTTTCCAGAACATACGTGGCATTAAATATTTCAAATGCTGTCCGCTATCCCCTACTCTCTAAGAAGAGATGTAGATTCAGCACTACGATATTAAAAAAAAAACTCAGCTACCACACTGTGGGCAATGCACAAGCATGCAGCGAGCCATTTAAAATCCTCACTTCATCTTTGTCTTATAGTCTATTGCGATGTCATTTTCCAATTAAATAAGTTGGTAAATCTTACATTCCTATGAGCTTGTAACACAACAGGAAGCCAACGTGCACGCGGAGGCCACTGAACCCGTTGAATGAGCGCTTTGTAGAATGAGGACGCGCACTGAGACTTGGCCACGCCCACTCGTAGTTGTGCCAGCAGCGGGGCGACGCTTGGCACGGCGACAACGGCTTTTCTGTGCGTTCTCTGGGCTACAACCGCCAGTGTGAGTAGAACACGGGGATTTGGGGGTAATACACAACGCGACTGGACTCTTGCGTCGAGGGAACAATGGCAGCGGAGCGCGGGACAGACACGCGCGCACGTCCATCCTCGGGCCTCGCGCTGCCGCGTTTGGCTCTCGTACCCGATGCGGATATTCCCAAATGACTCTGCTTTGATTCGTGAGAACATCTCGTCCCGCCGCTGGTGCACATGTAAAGCCCATCTCGTTATACCTAAACCCCACTGAGCAGATAAGTTGGGCTCCAGCTGAGCTGCAGCGAGTCAGCGAGGACCAGACAGCGACGTCCCTCCGGGGACTTTCTGTGGCTCACCGCGAGAAAGACAAACAAACAAACCAGGTTTGCTGTAGATATCTGATGCATGTAGGAAAAGGGAATATTGCAATTTATTTAGCAATTTCTAAAAAAAAAAATTAAAATAAAAAATTAAAACATATGATGAGTATTTTACCATGCAAGTAAATTTCCAATGTGGACAATAAGGCAAATCAAAGATTTACACATTATAATAACATCTGACAGCTATTTCGTGCCTATTGATTAATCACAAGCATTTTGTATATAGATCATAAAACATGTCACTCATGCTATCCCAAAGTCTTACTATCAGTATACAATAATGAATAAACACTGAACAAAAACAAACGATGTACCAATTTAACTTTTTCAAGTCCTGGCTAATGAAGAATATTAATACGATACCAGAGTTTAATTAATACATACAAAAAAAAAAACACAATGCTTGGTATAAACATTGTTTTCTGAATTTTTTTAAACGAAATGTAACAAATGAATACATAGATTCGTTTAAATGATGTATACCAACAGAATTACATTAAAAAGATCAGCCCAAAAGGTCAGCGATACCTAATCCAGGTATTTGAGTCCTTATCAGCACAATATTCCCTATTGCTTCATCCATAGCAAACGTACAAGATGAAAAACCTGCTCACTCAGCTGTGAATCGAAACCTCCTCGTCCTTAACATTTGTAATGTCAACAACCCTGATGTTTCCCTTACAAACTGAAAGCAGACCCCATGCAGGCCTTTTCCCTGCCTGCCTGCCTGTTGTGGCTGCTGATTTAGCGCCTGTTCTCTCTAATGCTCTCCTAATTAACCTGCGAATGGGGAGACTGCACCGACCCGCTGGAGCTTTGCAATATGCAGTCCGGTATTGCTCACATGATACTCTTCAAGGCCGCGCTGTCGGGATAGGAGTGATCATGTGATCAAGGAAAGCTCGGGTGTTTGCTGGGAGCAGAAAGAAACAAAGGAAAAGCTCACGAGAAGGGACAGAAACCCGCGTCCACCACTCTCCACTGGCAAGTAGTAGAACACATCCACTACTACCAAGAGAGCCAACATGCTAAACACGAACATCCATGGAAGTACATGAAAGTTGTCAGCTCCAAATGTGAATCAGAATATACACAATGCGTACCGGAAAGCCTTTCCTGCAGGTATATATACCCCCCCCCCCCCCCCCTCAACCACACCGGAATAAACTGCACTCTGAATTCTCTGGAGGACACCAGAAGAAAGATGGAAAAAGGAAAACCAGGGCAGGATGGAGGGTCAGGCGGGGAGAGAGAATCCAACCCTTTCCAATCTCACACGGGGAGGGCTAAACCCTCAGCCTGACTTTAATGTACGAGCTAGTACTGTTCATGGGCTCCCGCCACCCACACTGTAGCTGCTATACATATTGTATTCATTGCACATTGCCACCGGCTGAGCAGGAGGCGGAGAGTTGCGTCACCATCACGCAAAATGAGACCTTCCTTACTTCACGTGCTGCGCACACACGCAGGTACACAACCCAACCAACATGCAGGACAGAGCAGAATCTGGCCCGTAGCAGGAAGAGTACCGTTCCAGAAGATGGAAAAAGCCTGAATCTGCTAAGTCCTATCAGATGTCTCTCATTGGGCATTGGCCTCTGCCTGCAGTCAAATATCACAGTGCGCAAAAGCAAAGATGCAGAAGGGTCGATAAAAATCTGGTTAACATGCGCACACGCAGCCCAACTAATGGCTCTGTGGTTGGATTTGTTCCAGTCACACTTTGCTTGATAGTGTGAATTACTTACTCGTAACTGGGGAAAGTGATTCGATATTCTCCTGCATAATGTAGGTATACTGTCCTTCAGTGGTGGTTGGGGACAGAAAGTGTCCACCGTGATACGATATGCTTCCCAACACGAAGGGCCTCGCTCCTTGATTTCAAAAGTTCTGGTCAAAGGTCAATGTTGACAAATAATTTAACCAAAATTGTTGGCTGAAGGAGTAGGCCCTCAGTTTTTAAGTTGCCGTGTTGGGTCTAAAAAATGCACAAACTAGACTGAGGCGCGGCGTAAACAGCAAACGTACACTTACTGTGGTTCACCTTTAACACATCAACAAGCCCCCGTGCAGCAAAGAAACCTGGTAAAAGGGACTTCAACAACACAATCTCACCAATCAATTAAATACAGAAGACTTTCATGGAGGACAGATCCGGTTTTTGTAGACCTTTACCAAGCCATAATTTCTCATTTGCAATTTAAATACGGTAAAAAGCTCAAAAAGAACTTGCACAGAGGCATCTTATATAACATCAGTAAGTGAGGCACAAAATACAAAGGGAAAATTAGCATGAATCTTTGAAGCAGATTTTGAGGGCCTGACTGCTCGGCATTCATTCTCTAACAGCAGAGTCAGTAACTGAATAAATTAAGAGGCCGATAAGTGGCTGCATAATATGTACCTGTAACTCTTGCCAGCACAGTCATGGCACACAACTGCTCACACTGAACATTGGCCAAACCAAAAGGCCAATTTACTCCCATAATCCTGCACGCCATAAGGCCAACCTGCTGCTGCATCACGTCGCAACGTTTGGTTGAATTATTTCAGTCTGCACCAACATTGTCTCCCAGAGAGCCACTTTGCTGTGGCCAGTAACAAAAGTCTCCCACTGCCTAATAATAAAAAGTCTCCTAGGGGGAGATAAAAAAGTAAGTGTTCTGGCACCGCATTGGAGGAAACAATGCCATTGACGAGTAACTGAAGGGGGCTCAACACCAAGGGAGCTTTCCTCAACTTGACACAGGTTAAGGTACACGTAGGAGAGGGTGGTTTCCCTTCCTCTGGCCGTGCAGACACGATGCTTACGTTACAAGAATGGCAGCCATCCATCATGACAAGTTTATGCCCAAAGGCCCTGCAAGACAAGCAGTGCGTACTTCAAAGTACACAACACTTTGAAGTACGCATCAACTGTGGACATAAAATCAAAATGGTCGCTGGAGTCCACCGTGCGGAGGTTGGTGGCAGATTTACTACAACGCCATGGAGGCACTTGATGCGTGTCATCAGACCTCCGCCCCATCACCCCCCTGCAAAAGAGACTGGTGTAAAACATGCACTACCTCGCACTCAGCCCATCGCTGCACTGAGCCATTAAAGGCCGAGGCATCCCCTCTGACACACAAAGACAACTTGTATCCCACCACGTCTTTTGTCCATTGAAAGGATGAAACGGTCCTCAGTGTGTGTGAGAGAGAGAGTGGGCTCGGTCCTACAGGCAGCCGGCCCACTGGAGCGGCACGCATTTCCATTTGCTCAGTCAGCATGTAGGCAGAATCCTCTCGTGCTGATAATTAAATATTAATGGAGATAGGAGATAAATTTAGAAAGATATGAAGAACTGAAATGAACGCCGGCCTTGGGGGAAAACATTCATAAGACCGTATTCCAAGAAGGCTAAAAGTTGCTACGCAGTCATCATGGGGTGTGGCAGGTGGAAACTCGACCGTACAGCTGGAGGTCATTTTAAGAGAGGAACTGCTACGTCAAAATAACACCACGAAGCATTCATAGCAGAAAACAACATTACATATTCTAGAAACTACTATACAACAATCATCATGTGTCCCGTATAATGAGGACAGAAGCACGGAGTATGTGGGTGTCTAAAGGACACAAGAATACCATTTACACAACAATCCACTTCTAGGAAAGGGGATGTTGTGCTTTTAAAACCATGAAAAACTGCTGCCACGACATTCTTTCAAGACGTCCCGTCCGGTACGTCGCATTATGAAAATTACAGCTTTAGAATCAGGCCAACGAAGCACCAAGAGGAAATAAACACGTCTCCGGTTTGTATACGAGCAGCAGATCTGACCCATGAGAAACTAGGGATGGTGGTACAATGACTGCACTGTGTTCAGATGGTGGGGGAAGTCTTCAGGCGACTCAATGAAGCAACACCATTGACCACACCGGTGCACACCAACTGGCCAATCCAAATCCAGATCCAATCCATTGGATTTAGCTGGAAAAAAACAAAACAATTAAACCCAGTTCAGCTGGAAAACGGTGCTAATTGTATTGCTGGATGTGACTTAATCTACAATTTGAATTAAAAGGGGATGTCTGTAATCAGGCATCAGGTGTGTAATCAGTTGTGTGTAATTGCACTGAGGGGTGTGCAGGGACGTGCCGCCGTGCACGCACGTGGGTGCAGCCATGTTTGAGCCTCTCGTTCTCTCCCGATGATGACTTGCTTTTCTGCTCACCACCATTAAATTCACAGCATGGCGCAACCTGCTCCTGTATAAACTGCTCATTATTAAAAAAAATAGTTGAAATATTCTCTCACATCTCATATGCAAAATACAATTGATCTCAACTACTTATTTATCCCCGAAACTTTTGAATTCAATGAGACAATCCAGCATGGATGCAGCTGGATGACTCGAATTATAAATCCAAACGAATAACGGTGACTTTCATGCAAGTTCAGGATGGTTTATAAATACACAAGATAAAAAATGTGTTAAAGACAAGCGGTAGAGAATCCGATGCACTGTGTGCAGACACACTTAATTGGGAACTGTGATAAAGACCAGCAGCGTTTAAGGCGGGGTGGCTGACTGTCTCTGTCCATGTCTTTGGAGCTGAAATAAAGACATCACTTAACATTGTACCATCGCCTGTCCGTGTTGAGTTTGCACTATTTGTTTGATTGAACAAACCCGTATTGCCCAGTTACACTCAGTTATTCTACACACGCATGGCCACCATCCATCCATCCATCCATCCATCAGGCTGCTTCTTACACACAAGCCGGGTACAGCACGCCTCTAAAACCAAAGACAGAACAGACAGTCTGCAATGCTCTGACATGAACAATGTGCACCAACACCCAAGTGAAAAGCAGGCAAACGTCTCCTCACCATCGCGCTCGCATAACTGTAAGGCGTCCAAGCTCAGGTCCTTGATCATCCCCTCGCAGGGACTCAGCGGACTGGTGATGTTGTGCGCCAAGCCTGGTACCTCCATCTCTGCAGAAGAGCCTGCTGGGTGATGCTACCGGGGGGGAAAAGGAGGGAAGGCGGGGTGGGGGGAGGAATTTTGCCGTCAAATGTCGTCCACGGGACCTGCACAGCGGGAGGCGTCTATCCACGGCGTGTCAAGGCGGGAGAAAAAAAGAAAGCAAGAAGCGCGCTACTCCCCTCTCCTCCCTTCTCCTCTCCCGTCTCTCCCGGGGAGGTGCCGCTAGTGGCGCGTCAGCGGATCGTCACCGGCGCGGACAGCACAAACCGCCGGTTCCACTCCTGCAACGTGACGCGTGGCAGCTTCTGCAGAGAACACGTTCGCGCGTATACGCGCGCTTATCTGATTTCGTCCGCCCCGCGTATGAGCCACAAGTGCGCGCGCGCGCGCGATTGTTTTGCGTGTGCGCCCCGCGTGACGCGCCGCCGCGGGACAGCTGAACGCGAACGCTTCCGCGGATTAGTGCAGCGACTTTGCGCGAGTTGAATGGCTTCTTCTGTAAGCAGATTAGACCCCCGCGCGGTCCCCCCTCTCCGGTTTTATGTCCACATCTCAACCGTGCGCGCTCTCCGGTGCGTTTTCTAATTCCCCCTCGACGTCATCGCTGCAGTGGTCGCTCACGTGCCCTTATTTGGTGAGGTGGCCTCTGTGGCAGGAGCGCAGGTGCAAATGGTCCAGACAATAATGAGCTAGGGGACTCGATGAATGCTTTACCTCTTCATCTCATAGCCCCCCCCCCTCCTCCTCTTCTCCCTCCCCCTGCATCATGACACATAATATAATGCAAAAGCCTGTCACTTCACAGCGTGAAAACCACACATCATGCTCGGCCACGGGGTGTGTCTGTGCTTTTAATTATCTCCCCAGTGACGCCCTCTTTATCAGCGGCTCCCAGGAGCAGGACGGCGGGGCCAGGCGATAAAAAGGTCAAGTGCACGGGCAAACCGTGGCCGGGCACACTGGAGCCTGCAATCGCCTCCCGCAACATCCCTGAGCCACGCTGATTTCCCTTCGGATCCTCGTGGAGTCCGTTTCCTCTCCATTCAGGGGAGCATCACCGAGGCGATGTCACTTTCTATTTGTTTTCGCCTCCCTCCTTGCTACCCACTGTGCCCTGAGGCCACAGAGCGCTTATCTATTCAACGGAAGAACCAATTCTGCAGACGCGCCTATATAGGACCCCTGAGTCATGCTGCTGGAAGCTGCCGCACAGTATATAGGCTACACACACTGCGAATTATGGAAGGGAAGCCAGCCCAACTCATCTGCGTGCGAGGCACACTGACACAGCAGCATCGTGATCGTCTCCTGGAGATGGCACAGGGAACGAGGGAGAAGGAGCACAGCGGCAAGGAGCAACGTGACCATGTGTGTGCTCTGATTTCTCATTCTTCAGACAGACGTCTGCAAAGTGGTCATTCTGTGCATTCTCGTGCACATTGGGAGGATTTAAAAAAGTGGGGTTAGCGGGCAGGCGAATTAAAATTGCGGTAAGCCCATAATCACCGTGGCAGTCAGATTTAGTGGGAAACATATCAGTCACCACCACACTCACATTTAAGGGCAAGGTCGCATCTGGCCTACACGTCCTGATTGGGAAGTACAACTCGCTGGAAGTGAAGGTCAGTCCCTGCAACCACGCAGCCATCTGTGTCTGAGGAGGAGACGATGCTGTACTCGGCACCAACAGATGAAATGTTGAATGCATGTAGCGTTACGCTGTTCACGTTCACAATATGCATGTCTCACCAACTGCCTCCCTGCTGTCTAAGATGCCTTGATTAGCCTCCTAAAGAGCTTTGTACCAATACCCACAGATTAACACAGCATCTGCTTAAATGACTGTTTCCGCCGTAATTACTTAAAAGCTGCAGAGCGTGTTCATCAAAAAGTCCATCGGCGGTCATGAGAAACATAAACAAGAACGACTAGAGCTCAGCTAATGGCACACGAGCGGCAGCTCATCGTCATGGACGGCATCGCCCGTTTCTCTTAGTCGCCCCGTCTCCCTTCCCTTCCCATCTATCGACTACGTGCTCTGCTTATCTGGCACAGAGGAAGAGGAGGAGGATGATGAGGAGGCCGACCAATTCTGGAGGGTTCCTTCTCATCCCACCATCCATCAGTCCCCCCCCCACCTCCCGCCTCCCGGATCCCCTCCAGGGAGAGTCATCATGTGTTAGCGTCAGTGTTTCCACTAGAGCTGCAGCAGGACGGGGAAGAGAGACACTGTGCACCGTGCAAAACACACCCAGCCACCCCCCCTCACCCCCTCACATTAACTCCCCCCCCCTGCGCCGCCTCATCTTTTCTTCTGTCGGTTTACCTATTACTGCTCGGCCCCACTGGAGCTCGTCTGGTGAATATTAACCGCTGTGCACGGCTGTGTTTGTGTTTAATAGTGTGCCCTGTTATTGGCTCACTCTGCTGGGCTTGAAGCTCAGATGCCACACGGACACAGTGACAGCTGGGAAAATAGCAGGCAGAGGGGTGGAGGAATAAATGGCCAAATGGGCTTTCTACATCATCCTCACGCACTCCACCTCCACTTGGCCCATTTATGAGGCACTATATGACACACAGGCCACAGCATCTCACATCAGGAGAAAACAATAGCTCTCCAATAAGTCTCCAGGGTGTGTGTGTGTGTGTGTGTGTCAAGGCGTTGTGGCAAACCAGGGGGAGGAACAAAGCACTTGGGGCGGAGCCCCAAGCTCCGGTTGGGGGAGGTGATAAGGGGGATTTATTATCCTGTGCAGGTGCTCCAGCCACTGGGAACGTGGCACTGGTCACACCTGCGGCCTATCTGGTAATCAGAGCAGACCCTAGATAAGGAGAGGAGAAGAGACCGGACGGAGGCAGACGTCGGAGAGGAGGTAACCCCCAGGACTCACCGCTCTACTCTACTCTGCTCCTAACAGGACAAGGAAGCGGGCGCCACGTAGGAGGAGACGCCACATATTTCAGTTTGGAAGCCGGTTGGAAGAGCCGTAGTTTTTGACCTTTGTTATTAAAAGGACCCTTTTTGTTTGCATTTGCTGTCTGAGTTTCTTATTTTACGCCCGAATCTGGCCTCACTCCCCCTGGGTTACCACATTTTGGTGGAGGATGCGGGCATGACGGTCTGTCGCTAAAGATTCAGGCTAAAATAGGTACTCCGAGAGAGACACGGAGAACCATGGACAATGCACTGACACAGCTCATCCAGACCCAAACCCAGCAGGCCCAGAGTCTTCAAGCCTTACAGGACGCCATCACTACTCTTGGACAGCATCTGGTAAAGCCAGAGAGGCCTACGGAACCCAGTAAAGTTCTCACCAAGCAGACCGGTGAGGATGACATTGAGGCCTACCTAGAGGTTTTTGAAAGGACTGCAGAGAGGGAACGTTGGCCTAGAGCACAATGGGCAGGAATTCTAGCCCCTTTTTTAATTGGCGAAGCTCAAAAAGCCTGCCGGGACCTTTCCCCCGCTGACGTAAACCAGTATGGGGCATTGAAAGCTGCGATTTTGGCCCATTATGGACACAACCTGCAGACGAGGGCCCAACAGTTCCACGCCTGGGAGTATGACGCTACTGCCCCAGTGCGGCCGCAAATTGCAACGCTGATGCGATTGACACGCAGTTGGTTAACCTCGGGGGAGGGGCCTCCAGCGATTGACAGAGTTGCCATGGATCGCTGTATCAGAGCCTTACCCGGGGGTGCCAAACGACACGCTTCTCAAAGCTGCCCAGAGACAGTAGATGCCCTAGTGACGCTGTTGGAGAATCACCAGGTCACGGTACAGTTGATGCAAAGCAGTAGGCCACCCAGCCAATCGGACCCCAGGAGAGACAGGCAGAGGCTGAGGAAGAGCGACACGGAGGCACTGGGCCCAAGCCCGAGGCCCCAAGGGGGTCCGCCCCAGCCATCCCTCCAGCGCCGCCCCTTTGTGAATCCGGACCGGCGAAAATGCTTTGCCTGTGGACAAGAGGGCCATATAGCGTGGAATTGTCCGGGAGAAGACATTCTGATGCCTACGGCGGGCTCCTCCGACTCCCCACGGAAGGCCGACAGCTATCTTACCACGTGCTGGGCTCATGAGGGCGCAAGGGCCCCAAAGCTGCCGGTCAGAATAGGGACCCAGGATGCTGAAGCCCTACTCGACTCCGGCAGTGCGGTCACCCTCCTACGGCCCGGGTTGACCTCTGGCCCCAGGGGACCCCCTATCCCAGTCTCCTGTGTCCACGGGGATTCACGAGAGTATCCCACGACCCACATTAAGGTCCAGACCACCAGGGGCACATTTGAGGTTGTTGCGGGCTTAGTGGAAAATCTGCCGGTACCAGTGCTGATTGGGCGGGACTGCCCGATATTCTGGCGTTTGTGGGCATGCAGGACTGCTGGCCACCGAAGAAACTGTCCCACCAAGAAACCTGGTAGGGACCAGAAAGTCAAGGTGGCACATGCCTGTGCAGCCCCATCTAGCCCAACCACGTCATCTGCAGAAGGGACAGAGGAGGAGGCCCTGGCCCCAGCGGAGGCCCTGGCCCCAGCGGAGGCCCCGGCCCCAGCGGAGGCCCCGACAAGGAGGGATCCCCGACTAACTGAAGGGTCTTCGAACGAGGCTTTTTCGGAGTTCCCACTGGCAGAAGAGGCATCTTCCACCAGGCCCGGGCAGTTTGGGACGGCCCAGTGGGAGGACCCTAACCTGGAACAAGCGCGACAGAACCTGGCTGTGGTCGAGGGAGAACCGGTGGCGGGGGTAAGTGCTAGCACCTTTCCACACTTTTCAATCAAGAATGGCCTCTTGTATAGGGTGGCAAAGCTGGAGGAACGGGTGGTGGAACAGTTGCTAGTCCCCAAGCGCTATATTAACAAAGTGTTGTACCTAGCCCACTCCCACCTGTTGGGAGCTCATTTGGGGGTGGAGAAAACCTACGACCGAGTCCGGGAGCGCTTCTACTGGCCGGGGGTGAAGAAGGCGGTCCAGGATTATTGCCAAATCTGCCCACAATGCCAGAAGACGGCGCCGAAGGTAAACTACCAGAATCCACTAATACCACTACCAATAATCGACATCCCATTCCAGAGGGTGGCCATGGATATAGTAGGCCCCTTGCCGAAGTCCAGTAGGGGGCACCGGTTTATCCTGGTTATCATGGATTATGCCACCCGGTACCCAGAGGCGGTCCCGTTACGCACCGCAAGTGCTAAAGCGGTGGCGAGAGAATTATTCCTTCTCTTTAGTAGAGTTGGGATTGCAAAGGAAGTCCTTACTGACCAGGGAACCTGTTTCATGTCTCGGGTGATGAAGGAGATGTGTAAACTGCTGAAGGTGAGCCAAATACGAACCTCTGTCTACCACCCACAGACGGACGGCCTGGTAGAACGTTTCAATAAAACCTTAAAACAAATGCTAAGGAAGGCTATTGACGTGGAGGGGAAAAACTGGGACCAACTAATCCCCTTTGTCTTGTTCTCAATCCGCGAAGTGCCCCAGGCGTCCACAGGGTTCTCACCATTTGAGCTGCTGTATGGACGGAGACCCAGGGGCATGCTGGACCTGGCCAAAGAAGCATGGGAGCAACAGCCATCAGCCCATCGCTCCGCCATAGAGTATGTCGACCAGATGCAGGACAGGATGGCTAAGGTATGGCCCCTGGTGCGGGAGCATATGCAACAAGCCCAACACGCCCAAGC